CGCCCGAGCCTAGCAAGATCCACACTCAGTTAACACGCTTTACTGTGGATCCTAAGGCGGAGGAAGAAAACCTCCCAGAGCCGGAGGTTTTGCACGATGGAAATTCGGAATTTTATCGCATTGATGATCGTTTTTTTGGAAGAAAATATAGCCACTGCTACTTTGATCTCATGGACCCCAGCTTGGGAACGGACTTTGCAGCTATCGGCCCGGTCATGGGCGGTGGATATCCTCCTTATAACTCGCTGGCACATCATGACGAAAGCACGGGCAAAACGGAAATTTACTTCCCCGGAAGCACGCATCTCGTGCAAGAACCCATTTTCATTCCTCGTGCGTGCTCTACGGAGGAAGGTGATGGATATTTGATGGCACTGGTAAACAACTATCGCAACATGTCCAGTGAGCTGCATCTTCTCGATTGTCGCGATTTCACCAAGGCCCGGGCTATTATCATGCTTCCTTTGAGACTTAGACCTGGTCTGCACGGGAACTGGGTTGACAACAACTAGCGAGTTAGCGATTCCAATATTCCTGCTATTTTTTTTCGTAAGAAATATCAACTGTTGAATGAGAGGCCTAATCATAGATTTTCTGTAATGTTTCCTTAGCGTCATCTTAGGTGCCACATGTGAGATGTGGAAGTATCCGCAGCCCTGTTCTCTGAGGAACACTGACTGACTTACGGATGTTGTGTCGCCATTACCTTACGAACACTGCATGAGACCGGATCTAACTTACATTAACTTCGCACCTCCCATCTTCACTTTATTCGCTTCCATCGTTTGATCTACCAACTAGAGTCGTAAAACTGTCAATATTGTTCAAAGATCTTATGTCCGCCCAATTAACACCGCCTTTAAATGGCGTAGGTTACCTCAAAGAGGCAAATAATGATCGCAGAGCAACAGGATAGTTAATCTCGCCCATGCAATATCCAAACCAGTATAGGCAAAATATAAGACCACCTAACTTTGTGGCTACACATTCATTGAGTTGCTCGAGCTTTAAGCTGTTTAATCCAAACCTGTTTAAGTCAAACTCGAACCTGTTCAAAATGGCCATTCTATAAGTAGTCAAAACTTTATCTTCTGTTTGACCATATTATTTACTGTCGGGACATATCCTCCCGTCAGAATAAGCAAAGACACTTTGTACGTAATTTTGCTAAGCTGCGGCTCCCGCCGTATGGATTCAGGGGCATTGGACCACGACCTGATATACACATCTATCTACATGAATCAATCAACTTTCGCTTTAGAAGCATGAACACTGTTCACTTAACTGTTTACACGGTACCTAGCTGGTGATACCAACATTTACACTTATTGTCGGGACATAACGTCCCGTTCTTGGTGTACGCATTCTTGCGCGGAGCTGCGGCTCCGGTGTTGTGACCGCCGAGTGTCCATCCGTGCATGGGATTAAGGGGTATCTTGGAACCTGAGATGACCTGGAACGAACACATCTATCTACATGAATCAATTGACTTTTGCTTTGGAAGCATAACCACTGTCCACTTAACTGTGTACACAGTACCTAGCTGGTGATACCAACAGTGATAAATGTCAAAAATAAACAATCATATGACCGTATCTGTTCATCGCATTCTTGCAATAGCAGGATTCGAGGGGAAAAATAAAGATAAAAATAAAAAGATATTGTTGGTATCACCAGCTAGGTACCGTGTACACAGTAAAGTGAACATTGTCCATGCTCCTAAAGCGAAAGTTGATTGATTCATGTAGATAGATGTGTCTTCCAGGTCGTGGTCCAATGCCCCTGAATCCATACGGCGGGAGCCGCAGCTTAGCAAGATTACGTACAAAGTGTCTTTGCTTATTCTGACGGGAGGATATGTCCCGACATCATCTAAAGCCATTTAATATAGATCATGATGCCGTGGCTTTGCTCTGCGGTGGCTTTTAGCACAGGAGTAATGCGCTATCATGATCCGATGCGGCTGTACCCCTAATAGAGCCGGGTTAATATAGAGAACATAACTTTAAATACATAAGATATACTTACCTATTTTGACCTAAACCGCAATGTGATGAAATCACCCGCCTACATTCTACTAGAAAAGATCGATATCTGAAATTGGACACGTTAATTATAATATATTTCACAGTCACTTTGTTCCTGAAGACGTATTAAAAATGGAGGCATTACTAGGCTATTAATAAAGGCTTTGAAGATAGATGTCAGACCTTCAAATACGTGATATACCGCACAATAAATCAGCATATTCAACTTCTATGGCTTCACCGGTCTGCCAGTCGACTCCCCCATTCTTTCGGTGATGATGTCGAATGTTTCCCATTGGCTTCATCCCAGCTCCATGGCTCACTCTGCACAACAGTCTCTGAGACTACAGTAATATCCTTTGAAGAAGGCTCAGGCTCAGTAAGAATATGCTCATCACTTCCCCTCGCAGAAATCTGCATATGCGACGGCGCTGCGGTATTGATTTTACTCTTCTTTGTGTCTCGATCACCGCGATTTGTCATAGTCTTCAAGCCTGAGAGTGGGTAAGACTGTCCAGATGGTTTGCCAGAGGAGCTAAAGAGTTGAGAAAGACCAATTTTTTTGAAGCTTTTGCGAAGAAGTGGTTGAATGATGGGCAGATTAGAGACCACGATTGAAACGAATGTCTCGCGACAAGCCCATTTAGAGCCGGCCTCGGCGCCATCGGGGCCCGACTGCATGTGATTTGTCAGAAAGAATGTACTCGTAAAGGTTACCATTATAACGGGACTTACACTCATAATGGTAACGGCTCGAATAATTGACGCTGTGATGACGAATGCAGCACCGGAAAAGAGGGCCATCAGAGGAACTTTGCGTTTCAAGCTGATATTGACTTTCCATAGCAGAGGTAGTGGAATTGAAAGTAGGTAGATGTCAGTGATGATGTTGAGTATCACCACGACGAGAACGTATACTGGGGAGTTTGTTGGTTGGCAAAACTCTGGCGTATTAAGTTAGACGTGAGACTCAAGCCTGTTAAAGACCGGGGTTACTCACTGCCGGGATTTGGGCTAATCTGCCAGAAAGCGTGGAAAGGCTGGCATGATAAAAGAAGAGACAACTGAGTTGCAATCCACGTCACGGCTAGGATACCATAGGCGATTCGTACACGGGTCGGAAGGCTTTGGAGGCCAGTTCTGCAATTTCATCAGCATTTCAATATTTTTTGGAATAAATGGGGGAGGTATGTGGAGCGCACGTTAATCGAGAATAAAAAACAGCCAGGCTGATCTTGACAAGCCAAAGAATTGCGACGTATAGCGACCATCCAATGACTTGGATCTTTGAACCCGCAACTCGATTAGACGCCTCCTTAGAGCTTAGGTCAACACTTTTCCGTTCCTCGTCTGTCATATAGCTGTTGGTCAAGCCCTGATAATTGGCAACAACGAGATATGCTGCTACTGTCTCCAATACAAATACAATCTGTGCGAGTTAATCTTAGCGCATACACAAAACATAGAAAGACGTAAGAGCATACCCCGGCCAAAGGCATGAGATAGTCATCGAGCTGAAAATTGGCAGGTCCGACAAGCTTCCATCGTACAAAGATCCGCACAAGGATTGTGAACAGTGCTAAAGATAGCAATACCCATGCCTCGACATTGCCCGCCATTTCCAAGAGTGTGCGATGGCTAGGAATCCAGATGACGGAAAATGTGAAAGATCAGGACGGGATAAAATAAGCAAGATCGTCGATTTCTCAAGCACGTTGCTCCGCCAAGTCCACTCTAATAGGAGAGACCGCCCGGCCAATTGCTACCCTGGACAGCTGGTGTAAAAGATACGTAGAATTGAGTTCAGGAATGGACCAAGTTAACATCCCCCACTTGTCATCCGCCGATTCGATATCGTCTTAAACACGCCTCATGATTGGCCTCCGGGGAATACTAATCAAGGAAATATCAACGATATGTTAGCTTTGCACAAATTGGAGTGGCAAAGCATGAGATGGTGCCGTGCACGTTTTTGACCATTTTATTATGGGCCAAAATCCCGGGGACTGGAGGTTTCCACGACCATCAACTGATTCGGAAACGGGGTACTTTTCAGTTATTGACCCCCGGAATCCAGAGTGTTCACTCTCCGTTGTCTCAGCCATGCCACCGTAAATCGGCGGCTGAGGTTCGGTGTCTACCACGAAGACAGAAGTTAAATCCCGCCACAAAAGTCAATTCCAGGTAGAACGTACACGCCCCTAATGAATAGGATACCAAAGCTGCTTCGGTTAAACTATTCATGTAATATCAACATGCCTCGTGCATGGGCCCCCGGCCCAAAATGCTTTGAAAAGCTTGTCCGAGCTGACAAACAAAGTTCAGGCAACCATGCGGCGAAGCGCCATGTGGAGAGAAATCCGGCATCTCACGTACCAGTCATAAGCAGGGCGCTTTGATTGGCCAATCCTCGTCACATCCTTATCATACAGACCATGTTTATCTATGTTCATTACCCCGTAGTGTTCGCTGTCAACAGGTATTATCTACAGAGTTCGGAGTACAGAGGTCATTTCAAAAGTTTGCAATTTCCCCTATCTCCACTTGCCATATAGAGCTAGCTACCATGAGACTAAAAAATACTTGGTTCTGATCGGTGATGATGGGCAAAAACAATATTGGTCAACCCAGCAGTGTGTAACTGGATGATTTTTATTTTGACCCCAGTGGAGCTCGTGTTGGCCCGCCAAGCACCACTATAGCGTTATCCAGAGGTGGGGATGTTTTAGCGGAACTGCCAACCTTACTCCACCAAGAGAACTGACCAGCAATTCTGATCCCAGAAGCCCCATTTCAGGGGTTAAAACCGACGACTAGAATTCCTAACGGCCAAACAAAGTCGGCTTCTTTCCGTTAGCCCGTCGGTTCGAGAAAGTTTCAAGTTATATATGCTTTTGTCCCTGGAGTTTGCTGCGAATCCCTCTCTCATTGTTTTTCTTTTCCTTACCCTTGACTCGCATCGCTCCGCTGAACATGTCTTCCTTTGAGTTTATTATTGTCGGAAGTGAGTAATAGCCTTTGGATAAGGTTTCGGTTTATTCCCGCGGGTCCCAAATGGTCTACCATGGTATCCCTAAAGTTAGATCAGAGCTCTCAGGGACCAAACATCGAACTCCCTCCCAAATATTCTAACTCTTGTGTCCCCTAGCTGATATTTGATAGGTGGCCCGGCTGGCAGTGCACTCGCCGCCAAACTTGCCAACTCGGCCGCAAAGCCACGAGTCCTGCTTCTGGAAGCAGGTGAGAACAAGGAAGATCGTAATCTTCGCGTGGACGGAGAGCGATGGATTACTTTCCAAAACCAGTCCATGAACTGGGGCTACAAGACCTCCCCGCAGAAAGATTGCAATAACCGCGAGATTGACTACAGTCGCGGCCAGTGCATGGGCGGATCGAGCGCCATCAACTTTGGTGTGTACAGTGTTGGCGCGCGTGACGATTATCAGGAGTGGGCGCGCATCGTCGGTGATGATTATTACGGGTGGCAGAGTATCCAGAGGAGATTGAAGGATCTGGAAACCTTTCACGGAGAGACCCCGGAGGGTATGGACAAGAAATACGCCAATCCAAAGCCAGAGGATCATGGTAGCAAAGGCCCTTTGCACGTAGGCTTTGCACGCGAGTGGGAAAGAGACTTGCCCGAGCTGTTGGATGTTTTCGAGCAGGCTGGATTTCCCTTGAACCCCGACCATAACTCGGGTAACCCCATCGGAATATCGGTGTCGATTAACTCAGCCTATCAAGGGCTGTGCTCAACGGCAGGGGATCTGATTGTTGGCGGAGAGAAGAATAATCTGACGATCGCTACGGATTCGCCGGTGCAGCGTGTTCTCCTGGAAGGAAACAAGGCTGTCGGCGTGGAAGCGAACGAAAAGAAATGTGAGTCCAACCCATTTGGCCCCACCCTCACACCTATGATCGTATCTAGATAGGCTAATATGACTGCATCCATAGAATTTGCTACAAAGGAGGTTATTCTATCCGCCGGTTCACTCAATGACCCTCGCATCTTGATGCATTCGGGAATCGGCCCCGCCGCCCAACTGAAACAATACAACATCGACGTCGTTCACGATGCCCCCGCCGTCGGCCAAGGACTTCGCGACCATTGCTTCGTCCCGATGGTGAACACTCGCACCGATAACAGTACGGACCGAAAGGCCTTCTATGGTTCCCAGGCCGCCATGGATGCCGCTAAAAAGGAATGGGAAGAACATGGAAGCGGCCCCTGGGCAAAGTTTGCTTGTGAATTGGGTATTGGCTGGTTCAAGCTTACCGAACAGCTCACTTCCACGCCAGAATTTAAGGCTCTCCCGGAAGACGAACAGCGATATCTCCTTCAGGAGACCGTGCCACACTACGAGATTATCACCCATTTCCCTATTCACTGGTTCATCCCGGACTTCCCAGCCGAGGCCTTGAATTACTCTTGCTTGTTGGTTTTCTTGTTCAATGCACAGACCCGTGGAGAAGTCACTCTGCAATCGTCGGACCCCGATGCTCCGCTTCTTTTCAATCCCAAGTTCCTTGCCCACCCCTTCGACCGTCGGCTTGCAATTGAGGCTCTGCGAGACTCTTTCCGCGTTGCCAAACATGAATCTTATACAAAGGACAATGTGGCCGAGCTAGCTATGCCCAAAAGCGAATCGGATGAGGACCTGCTCGAATATTGGCGCCAGAATATCTTGTCAAGTTGGCATATGACAGGAACAGTCAAAATGGGCAAAAAGGGCGACGTTGACGCAGTCGTCGATCCTGATTTCAAGGTAATGGGCATTGAGAATCTGCGGATTGCTGATATGGGTGTTGTGCCGGTGTTGGTCAATGCCCATGTCCAGGCAGTGGCCTATGTCACTGGTGCAACTTGCGCTGGAAAGTTGATCAAGGAATACAACCTGGCTTAGATGCAAATATTTGCGCAGAATGTGGCCAAATATATTGGCTACGACTGGCTGCAGCATATAATGATTAAATCGTGCGCATTGTTAATGGGGGCAACTAGGATCTCGTTCATAAAGAGACTTCCCTGTGTCATCTGCTCTATTTGTAAGCGTTTGTTGAGCCCACAATCTAACAAGGCTTTGCGGAGTTCATTTTAGGAAAAGATGCGCAGTAAGATAACAATGATATATATTTTAGCACATTGGACACCTGCGAATGCAAGACATGTTAAAGACAGATAAGATGAAAATACGGACCCCACACACCACCATGCTTTGGGATAGAAGAGCTGTGGAAGTAAGCTTGTGACACGCTTTTGCCCATAACCAGTGTGCTACTAGGAGCGACATGTAGGGGTCGGCACGAATACATATTCGTAACATTTTGAGATATTCGCATTCGCATTCGTAGATCACAGACCTCTACGAATATTCGTATTCGCAAGGCCTGTTGAGTATCGCAGTGGTCAAAGCTTATGGCAGGACTAGCGATGGACATTTAAATAGACGGGGTTCCCACTTTTGATAGTAACCTCAACAAGAACACTACAACTACCTATCTCAACAGGTTATGAGCCCGGGTGGCTTTACCTTTGGGCACGCAGGCATATCAAGAAAAAAAAATCCTTTCCCTGCCATTACAGCTAAGCTTCTCTATCAGAAACTAACTCCATGAACTTCAGAAACTGACCATATATTCTCAGTAACTTGATGAACAATATGAAGTTCTATTGCTCAGAACCCTCTCAAAGCAATAACCTGGATGAACTTCCATTCACTGAAGACTTACAGACAGCATGCCATCAATGCTACTGTTACACTGTCACACTGGCACGGAGTATCGCAGGGTTGTCCCCATAGCCAGGACATGTCACCGTTTGCAGCAAGCCTCGGGAGTTTCTCCGGCAAATAGCCATTGACAGTATGCCATTATTGCTACGGTTACACTATGAAGCTGGCATGAGGTACCGCAAATGTTACCTACTGCCGGGACATGTCACCATTTGCAGCAAGCTCGGTAACCATCTTCTCAGAGTCACCAGCCACAATGCCATTTCGGAAGAAAAATGCGGAAAACACTACAAAAGAGACACTCTTGGACGGACGAGGAGCTGAACATCCTCTCATACCTCCGATACACTCGCCATTGGCGCTTCAAGAAAATCCAAACATCCTACTTCCCATTACTTTCTCCGAACGCACTCTTGGGAGCCTACTGGCGCCTGTCCACCGAAGACCGCATACGCCGAGCATCGAGGATCACCACCTCAATCATCGCTCCTCGCAACACTGGAGAAAACCTCTCAGGTTCCCCCCAAGCTCAACCCACATGTTCCAGTATCGCACAGGGGACAAGTCGCTATCGCACTCTTGCTCAGTCAGAAAACAACATTGAGACTTTGGCCTTCACCTCACCAAGCCCTGCGGGTGGAGGGGATCCATTCATTTCCGACAACAGCAATTCGAGTCGTTACAAACTCAGGCCAAACAGACCCTCAATCTTCCCTCCAAGGAAGCCGGGATATCTTGTTGACCGACGTCGTTTCCCCCACTTCTTTAGATCGTACAAGTACTCTCTCAATCTACAAGGAGTCCCGGACAGCGACTATACTCCTCCATCTCGGATGCCTACGCCAAGTTCATCAGATCGAAGCGTTTCCATCGTCTCAAGTCTTCCCAGTGCCGCGTCAAGCCTTGAACTCTTTGGCTTGGAGGTGCGCTCGCCTCAGTCATCAAATAGTGAATCGGTTACCTCTGATCGGCCCAACGACATATCTAGCCCTGAATTCTTCAGCTCCGAGGAGCATCCTTTGCCGACATGACTGAAATCACAAAGTTTGAGCAATTCGGAATCAATACGTTCTATAACGGAATCCCAACATTAGATAATGCCAGCGACTGGTTTCGGTGGAATCAGAAGGTCAATGAGTTCATTCGGATATCTGCGGTTGCCGACGATGGAGCGACTCCACCGATAGAAGAGGAAGAAGCACGGCAATGGATTCACCACCAAAATTTCTATTCTGCGATGATCACGGCAAAGCTGACACACAATGCGGCGCAAAGAATCAATGCCTTTGAGATTCCTCGAGTCCAAGTACTGCTTAAGGCAGTCAAGGACAACTTCAAACCAGAAGGCTCAGGCACGTATGTTAACCTCCAACGGCGATACATGGCCCTTACAAGAGACAAGTGTGGGAGCACTCAAGCCCTCGGAGCAGAGATCAGGAAGATCCATGCTGAAAAACTCCTCCTTGACTCTGATTGCGTAACCTCCGAAATTGAGCGAACATTTTTCTTCGTGCATGCACTCGGTCCGGAGTACGAGAGCTTCCGCGATCATATCTTCCGACAAATGGACCTTGTCAATGAAAGAGACGCAAATGGGACCGTCACGAAAGCGGCGCCCACGTTTGACTATATCGAGAATAAGGCAATTGAGGAAGAGCATAGGAAGGGGCAATTGGGTAAACAAGCAATGGAGACGCAAGCACTTCCTGCTCTTGCTCTAGTCCGTGGGCCAGGTGACAAGAAACTCATCCCGTCGTCGGACGGAACTACTTGTCGAATCGAGATCGATAACGTCCCATATTGCTCCTTCTGCCGAAAACCTTATCACGTTGACTCCGAATGTTTCACCAAGAATCCGAAACAGAAACAGAAAGACGGAGATGGACCGAAGCCAAAGCCAGGCAGGATGCATACGGGCACACGCAAACAGTTGAAGAAGCGGCCTTCGACGGATGACGAGGATGATGATGCCGGTGGTCCAAAGGATCCAAAGAAACCAACTTTCATGGCGACGAGAGTCTCCGAGAAAGATGTCAACGAAGCATTTGGAAACGATATCGAGGGCAATTTCGCCCTGTCCGACCATATTCCCATAATGATGGCGATAAAAACCCTCTCTATTCGCGACGCGTGGATCGTGGATAGTGGATGCGCTCAGCACGTCTGCAATAGTGCCTCGAGGTTTGTCCAAATGGCCAAGTACCATGGCCCCTCACTTACAGGCGTTGACACCTCAACGGCTCCCTCAGGAGTGGGAACAGTGAATATCCTTTGCAATGTACGCGGCAGAAAGAAATGGCTTGTGCTTGATAACGTCCTCTATGTTCCATCTGCACACGCCAATCTCATATCGGTGCTCCAGCTTCTCAAACGAGGAGCAAAGGTCGAATTCCCAAGCCGGAGTGCTATCATTCGCAACAAGTCAAACGAAAAGAATCTATATACTGCCAACGAATATCATGGAGTCTACGCACTCGATCTGTGGACAAGTCTGACTTTTCCCTCTTACCATGTTAGCCCGCAAATGTCTCTGTGGCACAATCGACTTGCTCATATGAGTGATGCAAATCTTCGGCGACTCAAAAAGCAGGCTCACGGTGTTCGGGACATGGAGCCACGTCATCCATGCAATTCGTGTCTGCAGGGGCGAATGATCGAAAAACCCCACCGCAGATCAGGAAATAGCAGGAGAGGAGAACACGCAATGGAGCTCCTCCATATTGACGTTGCAGGGCCATTTGACGAGGGCCTTGACGGCAGTCGTTACTGGCTCACCATCGTTGACGATTTCACGGGCTGGATCGAGATTATCCCTATACCACGAAGACAAGAGTTCGTCATAGAATCACTACGGTTCTTCCTCGACCACAATGAGCGCCCCGAACGAAAATGCAGGCGAATACGTCTCGACAGAATATCTGAACATGTGGGAGACGAGATGAAGTTCATGTTGTTCTCGCGCGCAATTCAAGCCGAGGTGACAGGAGTGGATCAACACCAGCAGAACGGGGTCGCTGAAAGAGCCCACAAGACAATTTATGATCGGGTTAGGCCTACCTTAGCACATGCGAGGTTGCCGTCTACATTCTGGCCGGAAATTGCTCGAACCGCAGCGTTCCTCTCCAACCGGTCGCCGTCATCGAAGCTCAACATGACTCCGTACCAAGCGTGGTATGGCGACAAGCCTGACCTATCACGACTCAGAGTGATCGGATCCAAAGGGGAATACTTGATCCCGCCAAAGCAAAGAAAGAAGCTTACGGATCCGCGAACAAGGCCATGCATTTTGCTAGGCTATGAAGGAAATACCAACTACCGTATCCTCCTGGAAGACGGAAGAATCGTTGGGACTCCAAACGCCGAATTTCACGAAGTCCTTACAGCTCCCTCCACACAGACTATAGAAGATGTGGGAGCCAGACAAGAAGGCTTACCTGAGGCAACGGCTGCTGCCGCAGGGGGAGTGAGACGGTGGGACTAATAAATCAACCGTCGGTAGGCATCCGGCAAGCATCCGTGCCTGCTTCGGGGCGCCAATTGTCAATGGCACCATCGGAGCGGGCCCTACCTAAGCCGAGAAACGATATCTCGCACATACTGCCTCGGAGTAACGATAACTCGCAAACCCCAACGTCGTCTCAATCGAGTAACGAAGACTCGCAGCCAGCTGTTGCTGTACAGGGAGACAGGACCTTGTCGTCCATACGGAGTGACGATGCCCTCGGACCCCTATCACCTGCTTATCAGGATTCTGTCCTTGGGATTGACTCACCACCCGGTGGCGACCAGCAACAAGACAACGCTCAACAAGGGCTAAGTTCAGGAGAATGGCAACGATATCCAGAACTCCAACTTGAACTTGACAACCCAGTTCATGAAGTGCAACAAGGAGCACTAGATCATCACCCTGAAATGAAGATTCGTGCTCCACAAGTCACACTAGACACGTCTGATGAGAGCGAAGAAGAGCTTGCACTAATTAATATACCCGAAGAGAACATCATCCCAACACTCTTAACGGTAGCTGCAGAGGAAACAGAACCCTTTGAGCCAAAGAACCTGCATCAAGCGAAGAACGACACAAGCTGGCTCGAATGGAAAAGGGCAATGCTTGAAGAAGTGAACTCACTCAAGCAAAACAAAACGTGGGAGCTTGTTGATCCCCCCAAAGACCGGCGAGTTCTCAGTGGAAAATGGGTCTTCAAACTCAAACGAGGACCTCACGGCGAAGTACTCCGCCATAAGAGCAGATGGGTGGTGAGAGGCTTCACACAAGAAGACGGTATTGACTATGATGAAACCTTTGCCTCGGTTGTCAAGCCAATGAGCTACAAAGCCCTCTTCGCAATCGGAGCGGCCCTGGACTTCGAGATCGAGCAAATGGATGTCAAAACCGCATTCTTGTACGGACATATAGACCACGAGATCTACGTCGAACAGCCCCATCACATGACGGATGGCACCCCAAGGGTTTGCAAGCTTCGAAAAGCCCTCTATGGATTAAAGCAGGCTCCTCGCATCTGGTACCAGACCCTCACGAACTTCCTGCGCAGTCTTGGCTTCGAGCCAATCACCGCCGATCTTGGTATCTTCGTTCGGAGCAATATGTACATCGCGGTATATGTTGATGATCTCCTGATCGTGGGTCCGAGTATCGCAGAGATCAAGAAGATCAAGCGGAGCCTAAGGAACCGTTTTCAGATGACAGATCTGGGCCCATGCAGCTACTACCTTGGGATATCCATCCAGCGAGACCGCCAAAACAGGAAACTGTCCCTCAGTCAAGAAGCATACATTGACAAGGTTGCTCATCAATTTGATATCGGCAACTGCGCTCCCATCGGCACGCCGATAGAAACCTCACCGCTTCCAGAGAACAGTCCAGACTACACGTGCCCTCCAGATCAGAGGACCTCTTACCAACGCATGGTCGGATCTCTGATGTACATCATGCTTGGAACCAGGGGGGACATCGCGTATGCAGTCTCTGTGGCGAGTAGGTCACTGGCAAATCCTGGGCCCCAACACATAAAACTCGCTCAACGCATCCTGCGGTACCTCAAAGGAACCAAGAGCCTCAGACTCGCGTACAAGGGTCAGCCTCAGAAACTGAAAGGCTTCACAGATGCAGATTGGGGAGGATGTCGTGACACGAGACGATCAACAGTTGGGTATCTCTTCAACATTGGAAGTGGGGCCATCAGTTGGCAATCGAAACGCCAGGGCGTCGTTGCCCTCTCAACGTGCGAAGCCGAATTTCTAGGGCAGACACAAGCCACCAAAGAAGCAGTCTGGTTGAGAAGGCTTCTCAACGAATTGAATATGAATCAAGGATTAAACGCCACGATCATCTGCGGGGATAACCAAGGGGCCATTGCGCTCTCCTCGAACCCACAATACCACTCTCGCACAAAACATATGGAAATCCAACGCAAGTGGCAGGGAGAGGTCCAAGACAACGGAACAGTGAAGCTCAAATATATCCCAACCACAGAACAAATTGCTGATGGGTTCACCAAACCCCTTGCTCGGGAAAGATTTGAGTGGTTTCGGAAAGGGCTTGGCGTTGAGTGATTGCTGCACCGTATTTGTATTGAACAAGACTAAGGCGCAGGTACCCTTTCCTTCCTTTCTTCTCAAATGAAGTTTTTGAAGGTTTTAATGGGACCCGTCACAACCGCGATCACATAGTCACTGACACCATTAGTGATGGTGGCCATCGAGTGGGAGTGTTGAGTATCACGGTGGTCAAAGCTTATGGCAGGACTAGCGATGGACATTTAAATAGACGGGGTTCCCACTTTTGATAGTACACTCAACAAGAACACTACAACTACCTATTTCAACACCTATATACGTTTACATCGGGAAACATGTCTGTGGGGAATGGGCCTACAATGATGACGATCAGCGCCAGTGGCACCGTGCTGTAAGGAAAATCGCTTCTGTTTCACGGGACGGGATTTTGATGATGTAATGAGCCACTCCATCTGAAATAGTTTTGGGAGCTTGAGCAGTGATGCCAACAAAAACAACTTCTTACTTTGGATTTTTGATGGAAAACGTGGCGCGGGGGACCTTGGGTCTGGTGCTGCCTACTCGCAAGGCCTCATCACCGAGGTTAACCCGACCTGCCCGTAATCGTATCAATAACCCAATCTCGTAGGTGGGTCCAGCCGCCCCTTATAGTTTTTGAGCCATTGAAACGAAACACTAGTGAGAAGACTGCTGATCGCGCCGCACTCGGCTGGTTCCTGACCCCTTGACGAAAATTTTTGGTGATCAAGATCCATTGGCGTACCCCTTCATGGAACGTTTACGAAACCTAGCAGAGAGGCAGCAACGTTTCCAGTTTTATTTAGCATTATCGAAAATAGCCCAGCATCCATCTGCCCATGATCTACATGCCTTCCGGCTATAGTATTGATGTCTATATTGGGGTAACGGTACGAATGCGACTGGTAGTTTGTCGCCCCCGGGCCTCCAACCTCATATCAGGTAGAGATTTTGTTACTCTCAGAATATAAACGGCATGATTTCCTCCTCCCTCAGGATCGAATGGACTCCGATTTGTACAGGAGAGTGTCTAGCACAGCAAGTGTCTACAATCAGATCAGAACCTGACCTTCAAGTCGTTCACCAAATTCCAAATTTATCGAAACCACTATGTTGCGAAAACTCAACGTCGCCACAGACGACATCCCTAGAACGAAGTTCAGGCTTCATATTGCCATAGGCTCATTGGTCGCATTAACATTCATCCTGATCATTGCCCGAGTGGCCGACAGCGGAACACCACGTGCCCGAACCAATACTTGGGGTATTGCAGTGGTAAGCCTGCCCAAAATACGAGATGAGACCGCATTGCCGATTCTTAAACTGATATAATTCGTACTAGTGCGTAAAATCAGCCGTTTTCATGGCGTACCAGATTTGTACCGGCCATGTTGACCGTCTTAAAAAATGGCACAGCACAAAAGTCAATGTTGTTTTGAATGTGATAGATACGGTTTTCTGGTTTGCGCTTTTCATCATCTCGATTCTCGGTGCTGCGGCCTCACGCAGTACCTCAAGCCGTGTGTTGGGGGTGATTGTTATTCTTCTGACTATTGTTTTGTGGTAAGTGTTCTAAAAATCGTAATGTGTTTTGAGCTAACCGCTTGTTTGTACAGCCCAATGGTTGCCTTTTTCACCTTCATATGCATGTGTGAGCGGCGTTATTTCAAGCAACATGGGACACTGCCAGGAGAAGCGGCGAAATATCCTAGCGGTGTCTAGGCGAGCATGCAGGGTAGACGGGTAAAACACACGGCTCTTTGCAAAAGGCAGACTAGATTTTGTACCACATGGAGTAGTGTCAGTGTTTAGAAGACTAACCGCACTATTCAGGCATGCTTCAGTTGACTAAATAATAATCTTATCTACATAAGTTTATGCATTTTACCGACTGTTCCGCACATGTAGCAGATTAGTTCAAACGTTCTTAAGCCATCATAGGCAATGTGGTAGTCTTGACCTATGTCCAGAGAACATGCAAACGGTCGCCCTTACCACCGCACCGAAGTAAATCCAATTGCAGATTTCTACGCACTTTTTACTATCCCTTTACTATTACCATCGCCCCAATGCCCTGGCTGATAGACAGATTATTAGAGCATAGTTCTGTAGTATCGTGGGATATAGAGTACGGAATTGGTTACTAGTGACATCATTCATAGTTATACAAGGGCATTGGAGAAATAGAAATAGCTCGTCAACAATGCTTGCAAGCTTGTTATCCTTTTTGTCGGACTTGAACGTTAAGCTGCGGTAATGTGGTGGGCTCATAGACGCAGCAAGCGAATTGTATAAACACAAATAACTCCAGATTTCTTGCGAAACATCGTACCCCGCAGGTGAGGACGATTGGGGTGGCAAACAATTAGGAGGATGTTATTCAAGGTAGCGCGGAGTATGGTACGATACAATATTCTAGCCTGCAACCTAGTGCTATCGTTATTCTCTGCTATGCGATATTACGGAGCCTTACAGGCTATCTCTAAACCTTCTCCACAGCTAGCGCCGGCTCTGAGCTAGATACTTTGTGTGGTGTATGGGGAAATTACTTAAGGAAGGCAGAATGAAGCTGTTGTCGGAAAGTTTCAACGAACCGCAAGTGGAGGTTAGAATGGTTCAGATTGCATGAAAAAGGAAAGATTCTCTAGAGCCTAGATCTAGCTTCAATACATAGAAACTATATGGCTGGAAGCTACTATCCGGTAAAAAGAGATCAAACAAAGGGACTGTTGACTACTTACTGACTTCTAGCGACTTCTAAAAGCCGGCAGCTGTATCATCCACACACACGTAGCCTGGGCCAGATGCTTCCGCTGGCTGGTTCACTATTCCCCTCCCGCTTGATGCTCGGTTATATATATTGCGGGGCCGATCCCTCAGCTGTTTACATAGGCTAGCTGCTATGTTGTCACATTGTGCCGTGACCCTCAAAAGGATTTCTGGTTGCTCTTTTGAGTTACTCACAAGGAGCGTTACTAGCTAATGTGTAAGGGGCTATTCTTGAATCTCATAACACCAAGTGTTTGAGATCACGTAGTCCTCCTATGTTTTAGTATGAAGCCCGGTTAGCTGACTCCGCGGCGCGCCAGGACGCCAGGAATCGTACTCGTTTGCATAGCCACATACGGCCCCTGGAAGTCGTCGGGTTAAACCAAAAGGATACAACCGGTATGACGGCGAAGCGGGGTAGTAACTACCTTCCCCGCGAGTCCCCAGGATGTAGATAGTTTTCCACTCTAGGAGGGGTTACCACGGAGAGTATTTGCTTTTCGCAACAGGAGCCGTCGGGGATGAATAGTGATATTGCATATTGGATACTAGCCACTTGGGAGTGTACTGTGGACGCTTCTGATGGCACAGAATCTTGAGCAGGAAGCGACACCCATGCCGCTTTCAACCACTGACAGGATCCCACGGGCGGATTACGCCACGAATTGACTGACCCGCCTTCGTGCCGATGGTTTCAGCATGAAAGCGAGTAATCATGAACTTCATCGTGGGTGGCATGGTTGTATTGGGCGAGGGCGTGCCCTGACGCTCCTCTTTAAACAGTAACATCGTCCGATACTGCGAGCTTGGCAGGTTTGGCCACTTGAACAAGGAAGTAGACACATTCTTGGCTGCAACCTAGGATCAATTATTACATGATCAAACCAAGCCGTACACAAGGTTACATCGGCAATGCTATCGCGGCCGTCGTAATACCTAGCCACCAGGTGCCCACAATGGCCTGTATAAATACGGACCTCCAAGCCTGTGATGACACTCCCTCACATCCATTGCACCTCAGCTTGCGAAATTACCACACTGGCTAGCACCGCAAGATCCCAAGCTCCTGAAAGACAATACGGAAGTGCAGCCGATCCAGGCCCAACATGCGCATCATCCCCGGCACCAAGGGCCTCTATAAACTTGCTCTCTGCTCGACGCTATTGCCGCTTGGAGCATTTTCATCGACGGCGTCACCCCAGAGCTCGGTCTCTAACCACGCTACGAACCTGAGTGAGGCACTTCCTCCGTACCGGAATGCATCCTTGTGTGTTAAAGAGAGGGTCGAAGACCTCCTGAGTCGAATGACTCTCGAGGAGAAAGCTGGGCAAATGTTCCAGCTGCAAATCTTCATGGGTCCTAATGGTACATTTGACCCTGGTGACCCTTCTCGACGACGAGGCAGCACCGTTGACAGGGTTACCAAGAAGTTTATGACCCATTTCAACGTGGCCTTCGCCACTGAGGAAACGAAAGCCAACGCAGAGTTTGTCAATCGTCTTCAGGAACTAGCAATGGAGACGCGTCTTGGAATTCCAGTCACGCTTTCAACCGACCCTCGCCACGCGTTTCAAGAGAATGTGGCTGCTGGCTTCTCCGCCGGCACTTTTTCGCAGTGGCCGGAGCCCATCGGACTTGCAGCCATAAGAGATGTGGACTTGGTTCGGAAATTTGGGGAAATTGCCCGTGAGGAGTACATTGCTATGGGTATTCGAGTTGCGCTACACCCACAGGTTGACGTGACGACAGAGCCACGATGGTCCCGTACCAACCACGGCTTTGGTGAGGATGCCCATTTAACTGCGGAGCTTGTAGAAGCTTACATCCAGGGCTTCCAGGGCCGTGGCAACTTCGGAGCTCACTCGGTTAGCACTGTCACAAAGCATTTTCCGGGCGGCGGTCCAGCAGAAAGCGGGGAAGATTCGCACTTCAGTTACGGAAAGAACTCATCCTATCCCGGTAACAACTTTGAGTATCATCTGATCCCATTCAAAGCCGCGATTGCAGCGGGTACTCGACAGATCATGCCTTATTACTCAAGACCTCAGGGTACTCAATACGACTCCGTTGGATGGGCCTTTCAACGACAAGTCGTTACTGAGCTTCTTCGGGAAGAACTAGGTTTTGATGGTATTGTACTCACCGACTGGAGCATCATTACTGGCTCGAGTGCCACCGGTGAGCTTATACCCCCAAGGGCGTGGGGTGTCGAGAACCTGACTGAACTTGAACGCGCTGCCTTGGTCCTCGATGCAGGTTGTGATCAGATTGGAGGTGAAGAGCGCCCTGATATCATCATCGAGCTTGTTAGGCGTGGTATTGTGCCAGAAAAGCGCATTGATCAGTCTGTCCGCCGTTTACTTCGAGAGAAGTTCCTCCTCGGCCTTTTTGAAAACCCCTTCCTCGATGTTGACATGTCGGAGAAAATGGTCGGCAATGCCTACTTCAAAAAATTAGGCGAAGAGGCCCAGCGCCGAGCGTGTACTTTACTCACCAACAAAGGCTCGATCTTACCACTTCAACCTGGCCCCGAGACCAAGTTTTTCATTGAGGGTTTCAACGTTACATATATGGATAAGCGTCATCTTACCGTTGTGGAGACACCTGAAGAAGCCGACTACGCTCTTCTCCGTCTTGAAGCTCCCTATGAGCCGCGAAACGGCACGGTCGAGAGGAATTTCCACGCGGGGTCCCTGGCGTACCCTCCAAGCGAGCAGAAGCGTCAGGCAGCGATTTACGAAAGCGTCCCAACCATTGTTGACATGCTCCTTGACCGACCCGCCATTATACCTGAAGTCGTCGAAGGTGCCTCGGCGCTTCTCGGCAGCTATGGCAGCAGCCCCGATGCGTTCCTAGATATTGTCCTTGGCATTGCCTCACCCGGGGGCAAACTTCCGTTTGACCTACCCCGATCGATGGAGGCTGTGAAAGCGAGCATGGAGGACGTGCCGTTTGATACTCGGGACCCGGTGTTCAAGTTTGGCCATGGTCTGAGCTATTCTACCGCCTGTTGCCCCAAACCTACATAGACTATTAAGCCTCGAGAATACCAAAACCTGATACATAAGCGTTCTGAATCGGAAACAAGCAGTAGTCTTCTGTAGCGCTCGTGAGTTGTTTCGAGTCCGATCGCAGTTCTGCCCCGCGGCTCAGATTCAATCCCGGAGAGGAGACAAACCTCCCCGACTCAAGAAGGTCGGCAAAGTTCCGAAGCTCTCATGGAGTCAAATGCCTTGGCATTGGCCCGATGATACTCGGACCATCCCACAGCCCCAAGAGGTCCCTTCTCTTTTCTCTTCAACCACACCACCACTTCACAATACCATCTGCGGGTATTCCCATAGCCATCTTAGCGCAACTTACAATCAAGAAAGAAAAAAATACAAAAATGTCTGCGCAGCAAGCAACACATGGTAAGCCGCATTTCAGAATATCAAGATCATTGACAATGACACTGACTGACTCATAGCAACCCTTGATGTGTTTTCGAAACAGAGATGGGTTACGTGGTGTTCCTTTCCGCAAAGCTACTGATCGAAGGTTAGATTTCAAGGCAATCCAGTTGCCGTAGTCACAATCAACAACGATTGCCAACTCTCCCACGACCAGAAGCAGAGGATCGCAAAAGAGTTCAACTACACAGAAACGGTTTACTTGTATGCGCGGGGCGAGAACCCTCGAGTGGAAATATTCACCCCTATCGACGAGATGGCATTCGCCGGCCACCCAATTATCGGCACAGGCCACCTACTTTTCCAGGGATCGGCGGCTGATCCGGCTACGCAAGTGTCGAACTTGACGATTACGACCAAGGCTGGGCCTGTTGCACTTGCTTACGACCGAGCAAACCTGCTTGTGCATGCCACTGTACCACAGAACTTTCACGTTCATCAACAAGAAGCTACTCTGGATCAGATCCGTGCCGTGCAGGCGGGTATGGATGCGGCCTCGGATTTATTTGCTGTGAAACACACACATCCTGTGGTATCCATGGTAAGCGGGGTAACATACGCTCTGGTGGATCTTACGAGAAGACATGATATATTCGCCGGAATTGTTCCTGGAGCGAGCCCTACCCTGAACCTTGACGAAGGATGGTCGCCGTCCTTCACGGGTGTCATGTATTATCGCCTACTGGATTCGCACTTGGAAGCCGCCAGTGGTATGATGCATTGGAACCTTCGTGTCCGTATGGTTGCAATCAATTTGGAAGATCCTGCTTGTGGGAGTGGGGGATGCTCTCTGAGTTCTTACCTCGCGCTGTCAAAGGGAGATCAAAGCCGAAAGCATCGATTCAACATTAGCCAGGGCTCAGAGATGGGGAGGGATAGTCAAATCGTTGTTGATGTTTATTTGGATGAAGAAGGACGTCAGTTGTCTCAGTTAAGGCTTGCAGGTCAGGCAACAGTGGTTACGGAGGGCAGGATCTTTTTGAGTTGAAGGCGTGTGCTCACGGGTAGGACTGTTCGCGGTTTTGTATAATCATGGTTTCAATTCCAAGCTTGAGTTCTAGGAAGGTCAAATAGAATTTATCAAAACTTTCAGGCGTTACGAACTAATTCATGAGGCGCGACTTGGCGTGTGGCGCAGGCAGCCCATATAAATTCCACCACCATTGAACAGACTGTGAGTTGGATCAGATATGTAACTACGTATATGCCACTCTTCATCGGCAGAGACTTTGTTGGGGTTTATTACGACCAGAATCTGGACCAGTAGGTTTGAAGAAGGTCTTAAAATAAGTATATCTATAATATAAAAATACATTTAGATTGGGAATAGAATTTTTAGCACTTATATTTAGTACGGGTAAATACTAATATCTTTTTTTTAGCCTGATAGGCCATTTTCCGGCCAGCTCACACGGCACATTCTGCATCATACGTAAATCTTAATAGCAATTTTTCCTCTAAGGCACTATCGTAATGTAATAACCACCTTCATCTGTGAAAAATGTTGTCTTGCATATATCTGTGCGTCTACTCCCCAACCAACAAAATTTCAAGAGCAGAGAAAAACCCTATGCTTACTTGGAATGCGAGATACCTCTATATTACAAGGCCAAATACCTAGATCCAGACTATATAAAGGCTTGTTTGCTGAGATATTGAAAGATAATTTTGTATAGGATGCATAGGCCGCGAATCACTATGGACACGCGGATTACAGGTGAAGTATGTTAAGGTGGACATGGCGACATTCCCATCCTCATCATTTACTTACCTCGCATTGATTCCCTAGCATACGATCAAGGTTTGCTCGCATACATCTAGTAGAAGGCATTTGAGCCAGGTAATTGTCCGCAGCATCGTTCTTATATAGCCAGCAACCGTTTAATGCGCTTGGCTAACTCGTTGTCATTGAGACGCTCGATAAGCATATTAATAGCCGCACTTCCATGATCAGCCATCAGACATCCGTAGTCCCAGACTTGCTGCCGCAGTAGAGCAATAGCGCGATCATAATTTAGTTTGTCGCCGGAGGAGCCCTCAACTCTCTGCCCATGTACACTCGGAGACTCTAACAGAAACCGAACTATCTCCGTGTCTGAATGCATAACATCCAGAGCGCAGAGCGCCACATGGAACGCAGTCACGCCGTCATGGTTCTTCTGCGCGGGATCCGCACCGGCCTCCACGAGAATGCGCACCATCTCACAACACACAGTATCGGACTCGGTGATGCGGACGGAACATAGATCATGGAGGGCCGTGTTACCATTGCTGTCCAGCGCTCCAGTTGGAGACCGATCACTCTCGATGATCAGAACAAAAAATTTTCAGCGGGGTTTCATCAGTGCCTTCGCTTCCCCGGGCGGCTTTCCACAGTTTCATCTTGATGTGCTCCTCCGGCCAGCCGTGCGGAATTCCCTCGAGAAGGTACGGGATATAGATGTTTCCTCTCCACAGAGAGTGCCATCCCGAGCGGACTGTCTCCCCAGTGATCCCTTGCAGCAGGATCCAGTCCCGCCTTTATCAATAGGTCGACGAAAGACGGCTCGGCCATCTATTGGATGGCGTTGTGCAGTGGTGTTTGACCGAAAATATCAGCTGCCATAACATTTGCACCAGACTTCAGAAGGTAACGGATAAAATTTTCGTTCTCATGCTGGACGGCCTCGTGTAGTAACGTGCTACCATTCAATGCAGGTAATGATATGTCCCCTCCCATTTCGAGCATTCGATCGATCAAAAGCTTGGCGATGGCCCCATGGCGGCCCCAAAGCGCGCTGTGGACAGGATAATGTCTGCGCGGATCAGGAATCGTAGGATCAGCGCCCATTTCTAGGAATACTTCCACCGCGCCCATATTACCGCAGTAAGCGGCGCTCGATAACGGTGTGGAGCCGGTGTCATCAGGGTGGAAGGGATCTCCTCCGGCCGATCGAGTAGCATGAATAAGGCGCTGAAGCAATGATTTCTATCCGCGTCCTGATGCAGACATAACCGCTGATTGCCCTCGCGAATCCGACACCAGGATACCCGTGCCGCAGTCGAGCAGGTACTCGGCAATATGCTCGTGGCCTTGCGACCAAGCGATCTGTAGTGGGGTGCCCAGCCCTTCAAACCTTGCCTCGACTGGTGCGCCAGCATCGATCAGTGCTCGAGTAATCGCCAGATTCCCGGTGGCGGCCACAAGGTGCAGCAGTGGGTAATACCTCGCAATTAGTCTGTCTAGTGTATCTTCGGAGAGCAGTCTTAGACATAGTGAGTCGTATTTGAATCTTGTGAGCATGTAATGAATGATCGGGTCGGGTTTCCATTTCGCCGCACAGGACCAGACTCGGTGATTGAATACAGCAGCTGGTATCGTGCGGAGGGGTTTAATCCAATCAACTGTGGCATAGCGGGTTGTCAATAGGTTATCCGGCGAGAGAGCGAGATCACATAGTCGGGGTGTCAACGCCCTAGCTACTGTTCTGCTGGTTTGGACTATCGAATTGGGGGTTCCTTTGTTCAGATACGTTGAGACTATCATGATGATCTCGAAGGGGAGATTCGGACACCCCATTGTCTTGATGTGACTCGGGCGGGGAGGAGAAGAAAAGTTCAGTCAGGTGGTTAGACACGAAAGGGAGCACTCGAACTGAACTAGTTTTGGCCGGAGTCACATCTCGTATACGAGGAGCCATCAGCGGCTTTGAATGGGAAAATGGGGGCTGAATATCGGCAATTAATTGGCGCTTTGTGACCAGACGGCCTTTCTCTGATGTTTACTTATATGTTGATCAGTTTGCATTGCACCTACCGAGTAAATCCACCAAGTACTGAGGGGCTGACGATTTTGGTTGCCGTGAAAAGCGGGGAATGATGCCCACCTGGAGTAGGGATTATGTTGTAAGATACACATCCTTAGCTCGCCATAATCAATTTGTTTGCTCAATCACCCTAGAGTAAGTTTACATATAGAATATGAGGACCTGTGAAAATGACGCCGAAAATGACCACTTTTGACGCCAGAAACGGCTTCCTTTCCACCCATAACTTTGGATGTCCAGCCGCCCCTTGACCGCCCACTGCCCCGTAACACCACTATTCTGCACCCACCTAACACCGTTAGTCATCCTCCGGTCCTGATGTTGACTCTCGACTTGCACGGTTGGTCCCCTCGTTTCCACTGGCGACCAAGACGACGCCGAAAATGGCTCCCCTTCAGCTGAATCTAAGTCCCCTCCCTTTTCGCCCAGTTTATTTGCGCGCCTATAAGATGCTTCGCCTTCCCTCCCTTCCGGTGTCCTTGCACCTCCCATTCTCTCATCCTCATTGTCCACGCCTCAAGCCGATCTTGACGTTGTCGTTTCCCATACCACGAATTTTCCACCCTGGTCTTTGTATCTGACCTCCTCCATGGCACCTACGCCTGTACAGCCGGCTCAAACTGATGAGCACCAATACTGGACCGATCCCATTCTTTGCGAGGAAACTCGAGCCAGACTGGAACATTTTCGCAGTCTTGGATGGCTCCCTCAAACTTTAAGCCAAAGACCTTAGAAGGCATCGCTGTCGTCGAACGTTATTGGCGAAAGTGAGTGTTCACTTGGTAAAGTTGTGACTGAGAATAACACGGGAATAGATATTGCATTCAATCGAATGAGGATTATGTGGACTTTCTTCTTTTGGAGGATCAGACGATCTACATGAACTTTTTTGATTGGATGTTTAAAACATCACGAAAGAAACTGCTTCAGTCATATGATGAATACTGGCGACGCCTTTGTCAATACTTCGAGCTATTCGCCCGTCGCCGCGTCGGTGAGAATGCCCGTCAACAGATGCGACGAGTAAGTTATATCCTGTCTGTTCCTAAACAGAGTATGCTTACCTTGGAAAAGTTTCTCGAAGGTGTATTCCCAGCCGAGCGCAAAATTCCCCGACGAACAAAGGACAAAAATACTCTAGATGTGGATGCTTTTGGCGTGATTTACCGGCATCACTGGGTCCATTCGAGGTTCTTTCGTCACGGGAGCATGATTGTTCAGTTTGCTACAGTCCAGCTCTGGTCCGCCATTACAGGCACGCGACCTGGCGTCTTGCTTCCTCAAGACACCTTGTCGCCTGGCAATCCAGTTTTGGGCAAACGCAAACGGGATGACACCTTCCAGAGTGATCTTCCAAAGCACATTTCCTTGAAAGATCTTCCGGACTCGGTCTGCTATCGCGATATCGAACTTTTCTACCTGAAAGACCTTCAAAGTAAACGTGATGTCCTCTGTGCCATCATCGAGTTTCGCAATCTCAAAGGTCGACCGGAAGGCGCTGACGGGTAAGCTGAAATTTTGATTCGAATTTCTCATGAACCAACTTCGATACTGATCTTGCCAACAGAACCAAATTCTTCATGCACGGCGATTATCAACTGGCATATTGCCCGATATCTCAGATCATTGCGTTCGCTTTCCGCGATGGAGCTTTTGCCAATGCCGACCTCACACCAGAGCTCATTTGGCGGCTACGAGTTCCAAGAGGCAGTTCATCTCTTCCCCTCCGGTGGAAGCCCGAGGTTCTTATTGTGCCTCTCCTTCGACGTCTTGAACGTACTCCATACGGCTACAGACTCGATGGGTCTTTGCCAATGACCTATGATTCAAGTCGGCAGGCGCTCAAGGAGTTGGGTCGAGATGCTAGATTTGAAGACGATATTGGGCATTACAACTACCGCCGCTGGACGGCAAATGAAGTCAACAGTAAGTCACTTGCTGAACGCGATATGATGAATTCATTTTCGTACGATAGATGGGGTCACTTGCAACGGAGCTGACTATCTACTCGCAGAAAATTTTACCAGCCAGGAGCGACAAAGGGTGCTCGGGCAGTCTGGTGACGCGGTGTTTGAAAAGCATTACCAATCACAATTTATTGCGCGCGACCTTCAGCATGTCGTTCTTCTTCGGCCCTCCCAAGAAGGTCTGGTACGCTTCGCTGGGAGCATGCTTAGGAAGAGAGATTTATCGGCACCATCTGATCTTACCGAAGCTCATAAACGTGCTATTTGCCAAAACCCTGAAATTCTGCAACTGAGACGTGAGAAAAGAGAGCTTATGGCGGAGATGCGGTCCATGGCTGGCACAATCAAGAACGCCCGTGAGACCTTTCCACACCTCTTCCAAAGGCATGAGACTGTCAAAAAAGACCTGGCCAAACTTCCGAATACATTGGCGATCGAAACTCGCGAGACAGCCAGAAAGGACTATTTTAATAATGCTCCCGTGATTGAAGTTGACCGACAGATCAAGCAAATGCTTCTCGGCGAATCTGATGTTGAGGAACGCGATGCTGATAGTTCCGCTGAAGAAGACTGGGAGCTCCCTATCCCGGACGACGTATTTCCTGAACGAGCTCGGCTTGTGGAGAACTTTTACGGTCCTGACGCAGAAGACTTCCATGTGGACAAATTACTTACTCGACGCATTCAGGTTACCAAGGACATGGTTGCGCTTCTGCTGCTTTGCGAGCTGAGCAGGCGAGGAAACCGTGTTAATTGGGATCTCGATGAAGAGGCAAACATACCTATTGAACAGGCCGAGCAACTGGCGTCTGATGATGATACGCAAATATGTCCAACAGATGTTTGCATCATCTGCTTTGGTGAATCTCGTCGCTCGGCGTCGAACCCTCCTCCGCATAAATTTCCTTCAAAGCGACTGGACTCACTTCGTCGTCATCTCATCGACTCTCATCTGCTTCATGCACACGACGGGATCAGCTGCAACTGGGAAGCATGTCGCACTCTTCCCAAGTTTGCCAAAATCACCGAATTTTTAGCCCATGCCAATAAAGAACACAAATATGATATCAATATTAAACTATGTCATCTCACCGAAAGGCCACGGGTCAGCCAGGGTGACGGTTCTTCCAGGGAAACATCTATGGAATCAGAGAAATGGCAAGGCACTGAAACTCCCGCCTCCTCTGTCGATTTTGATATGACAAACATTGATCCTCGATTGATGAGACCCGGCCCTATCACCGTTGTGAAGCCATCAGCCTGCCCGTCAAAAACCGACATTTCCGCCTCCTCTTCTGGATGCCCAGTGACGACCACTGACTTGAATTCGGCGGAGATTTCTGCACGGCGAGTGACGAGGGGAACAGCAAAGGCGGCAAATATAGAACCTGGTCCTAAGCTGGAATCTTCATCACAGCATGCGACGCGCTCGTCTCGAAAAATTCGGCGCCCAGAAGAGCAGCCTGGGGGGCAGCAGAAGGGTAAAGGACGGCCAGGCAAATCGAAAGCGTATAGTGTTAGATATACGCCACGTCGGTCAAAGCGATTACGAGCCCAGTGATTTGTGGCCTTGGGGTGATTCTTTTTGTTCGTATATCTGGATGCAGTTCAAGAGGTTGATTGTAGACCTTATTTCGGAAGCATTTCTGGCTTAGCAATGATACTAGTGCCAGACTATCGTTTACTTTGAATAGCTACGAACAGTAACTTGCACTCTGACGGCGTTCAAAGATACATATTACTGTACGGAATGATAGTAAGGCGATTGGGTCGAGTCAGGTTACGTAGTAACAATGGCCTTAGGCCCTTCTATGATGTCGGCATTACCTTACGAATACTGCAAGTGACCGGATCTAGTATTGATCCGATGCATCTGATTATGTAACTAAATTGAAGCATAACGTAATTCACAAGCGAGCCGCCACCCCAAGCGAGCCGCCACCCTACCTAAAAACGCGTCGAAAATTAGCATTTAATTTATTCAACCACCTACCATGCCACCAATTCGTACCCAATCGCCCCGAAATCGTACAGAGCAAGAGGGTAGGATCTTATTAGCTATCCAGGCTATTAAGAACAAAGAAATAAGCTCTGTTGCTCACGCTGCTCGGACTTTTGAAGTACCGCGTTCAACTCTACGACCGCCTCTCTGGCTGTACAGAACGAGCTACTGTACGCGCAAATTCACATAAATTGACCGAAATTGAGGAGGAAACACTTCAAAAATGGATTATCTCAATGGATTTACGTGGAGCAGCCCCTCGGCCTTCTACCGTACGAGAAATAGCAGATCTACTACTCGCGGCGCGTGGATCTACCTCCCCTCTTTCGGTCGGCGATAATTGGGTTACAAACTTCGTAAAAAGGCACCCAATCCTATCATCTCGGTTCTCAAAACGATACAATTTCGAGCGTGCGAAGTGTGAAGATCCAAAGATAATTGGAGATTGGTTTTCGCTTGTCCAAAAGACTATACTTCAATATGGTATTGACCCCGACGATATCTATAACTTTGACGAGACCGGTTTTGCTATGGGCTTAATCGCAACCGCGAAGGTTATTACGAGAAGGGAATACTACGGTCGGCGATCGGTTTTACAGCCCGGAAACCGCGCGTGGGTGACTACAATTGAATGTATAAATGCGTCGGGGTGGGCGCTTCCTCCTTGTATCATTTTTAAGGGCAAAGTCTTTATCGAATCTTGGTTCGACGGCCTTCCAGACGATTGGAGACTTGAGGTTAGTCCTAACGGATGGACCTCCGACGAAATTGGACTTCGGTGGCT